AAGCATAAGTAATGATTTTAAAGTTCATTAAACAGGCAAAAGAGGAAATAAATGATACTTAAACTGCAGTAAAAAAAAGCAAAAGTTAGTTAAGACCTTAGGAACTAGAACAGCAGGAACTGGAACATCAGCTCCAGCTAAACATCAGATCAAAAAGAAACTCTGAAATGTTCTTTAACAAGGTTAAACATGTTTAACAGCTTAAAGGTTTTCACCCATGAACGCTGGAGATCTTTTTGGAGTATGTGCTGAAAACTCATGAGTAATTTATCTTTAATCTCGCTCCCACCTCAGAGTGTGAGAGTCTGTGTTGGAGATGTGTTCTCACAGCTGGAAACAATAGAATAGCAACTAAGTGTAGAATGCAAACCAGGCAAGGGCACGATGGAGAAAAAGTATGCCTGTGGGTTTGATGGAAAATCTAAGAATAAGTCATTTTCTACTATCCTTCTATAATATATTTGAATAATGGCTTTAGTTTAGCCTTTAACAAGTTGACCCTGAGTAAAACTTACTTAAACCTTATTTTGGACCAGCACACATCATCAACTTCTTACCAAAAGTCTTTTATCTTAATCTAAAGACGCTGTACCCGAAATGAAACCAGGAGTAGGACTTCATCACAGTTTACCGACACTTTGTTTAGGCTAGTGGTTTGCCTGCAGTACGAGGGGAGCTCAGTCTTCTTTAAACAACAACTACAACTCTGTTCAACAATGGGGCGAAAACATGCAGAGGCTGACTGTGAAGCCAAAACACGGCCAAACCTTCCCACAGTTTCGGCTGGAGGCTGACGGAAAAATAACTCCTCATGCTTGCAGATGTGGAAAATCCCGAAATAACCTGGAAAAGAGAAAGATATAACATTTTTAACAGAGCATCACCATCAAACAATAGATCAGCACATTTCCTCTGGTAATGTACCCTCAAAGCCAGAGTAATATATCAGACATTGACCATAAACATGCAATTATCCTTAACTAACTATAGTATATAAAGACTTTATATGGGATAAATCATTCAACATGAGGGATTTATTCAGTGAGGCTGAAGTATATAATTTTATATATATTTTTCTTTTTCATCATATTTTTGAACGATTCATTTATAAAGACTTTAGCTAAAAAAAAAATTCACAATAGCACTTATGATACATTGTATATAAAATGTTCATTTGAACGTTTCTGGTGTGAAACGTAAGAAAGCTGTTGGCAAAGTACACCTGCAGCTTATGGACTGAGTTTAAACACAACAGTCGTGGCTTTATGATGTGGTAGCGATATTGATCAGGGTGTCAACCATTACTTTCACATAGGGGGTTTAAAATGCAGCTGCTGTCGGGCTGGTTGGTGTCTTCAAATATTTCATATATATTTAGGAAACCTGGGTTGACTCGCCATGTTTTGTTGATAGCCAATACAGCGACTCGGCTCAGTGAGTCACACCATCTAAAAACAAGTCTAGGCTATGTTCAACTTGTCTTTGGTAACCAGATGTTCCCTTTATATCCCATCTGTAGAGATGATTCACAGGACAGTACTCCTCTGTTGAGACGTTCCCCTTTCGTGTGGTGACGGAATGTTTGAATGTTGCATTGCATGAATGAGGACCATGGACAGAGGACAGCAAGACAGTTAGTGCTGTATGTCGAGTTCTTTCAGTGGTTTAATAGGAATGTGAGGAACACATCATAGGGCAATCAGAGTAATCATAAGTAGATCAGAGTAAAAGATTAATCCAGCAACAAGGAGAACCATGTACTTACTCATATCTCTCGAAATAACATTTGCCACAATTTCTTGTAAATTATTGCCACTACAGGCAGCAAGAAACAGATATTATTATCTGATTTGCATCTAACATCACTGTGTTGTGTTTGCAGTTTGTGAGGCTCAGGAGTACAGCGACTTCGCACCGACTCCAGACTACGACTCCGACTACAACGCCACCTTCGAATACAGCTTCTTCAGTAAGTCAAACTCAAGTTCAACTTCAGTCTGAAGGACAGAGAGAAAAAGCCAGGGATTTTAAGAGGTGAAGTATATTCAGCTCAAGGGAAAAGAAACAAGAAACATCTGACAGATGTTTGGTGATGTCCTCAGGTAACACCAGCACTGACGACTTGGAAAAGTTCAGCGAACAATTCATCGGTAAAGGAGAAGACGAGGGTGATGAAGGGAAAGATGACACAGGAGAAGAGAAAGACCAGGAAGTGAGTGTTACCGTGACAACCACCAGGACCAAAGAGAGGACCAAAGTCAGAGTTAGCAGCGCTGCATCACTTCCAGTTTCTCTGGTGAGAACGATTTTCTGATCAAAGATATTAATTATTGTGATAATATCATATTCATTATCAGAATAAAAAAGATTAAAAAACAATCTTCATCAGTTCAACCAGGTCAATAATGCTCTAAAAATAAAGCTTATGATAAACCTACTTAAACCTAAGATGAACGGGTACAGTTAGGCAGTTAGATTATTATCAGTATAACAATAAGACAGCTTTTGATTAACTAACATAGAAGGAAACAGAACATTTTAATTGTATTGATTGATTTAATTTAATTGATGCAGGGATGGATGGAAAAAAACACATTTATATGAAAAATAATTATACTCTCCAGAGATTTACTTTAGCATTTTTTTTTAAATATTCACAGTAGCCAATATTAAGCAAATATTATCTGAGACAATGATTTCACACACAACACACTGAAACGATTCAAATATGTTGGGAAAAGTAATGTGTTTAACAGAATAATCAGAACAATTATCCAAAATCGTTTATTCATGTCAATTTCCTTTTGAAATATTCTTATTTTGAAATAAAAAGAGGTACTCTTAATCTTTTTAGGTCCTTTAACATTTCAGTTATTGGTATTTCAACTTTTCCGGTGGCCGCTTGTGGTTTCCTTGGCTTCCCCTTTAAAAGGACAGCGGGAAGCTAAAGAGCAATTAATATATACAATACTTTATATATACTACAAGAGGAGCTGAAGAAACCAGAAGTTAGCAAAACAGGAAGAGGCTGGATCCTTTTCAGCTGAAGTCTTTGAGGACACAGATATGAGACGGCTCCAGCTAAGCCGGTCATGTCTTCTCTGTGTTGTTATGAATTCAGCAGGACAAACATCAAGAACTTCAGGAGTGGATGATCTGGACCCAAGCAGCATTTTGTCTGATGTTATTCATAAAAGTGCTCAGTCAGCAGCTGTGAGCAGGTGGCTTCTGTTAAGAGTCAGAGTCCATCTGCTTTCTGTAAGTGTGGGTCTGATTTCTGCCAGTATCAACAAATAAAACACTCATCGTGTTTGAGAGCAAAAAAAAAGGGTTTTCGGTTTGCGGACAGAAACAGAGTATCAGGATAAAAACAGGAAAAGCATGAAAATTCAAAATGACCGAATTAAAACAAAGAAGAGGCTCCATGAAAGAAGAGGAAACAAAAACAGAAACTGCTCTCAAAAGAACAAAATTGTCTCTCATCTCTCATTATAGTCTATAACTGCAGGACAAAAAAATATACATATTAATGGATGTTATGCTTTGAAGTATGATTGAATGAACTGCCAATATATGGTTTGTGGTTTTTGATCTTTTTGGGTTGAATCTTTTTGGTTTTCATCTCAGAGGTGAATGACTGAGTATTCAGTGACAAGAACAACCACTAAAGAAAAACAAAAAAACTCGAGTCAATGACCAAAGAAGAAGAAACAAGTTCATGAACTTTTGTTTGTCTGTCTGTAAAAACCTCAGAAATAAAGATTCAATCCTGTGTGGGCACATATCCTAAACAAAATCTTACATTTTCTTCTCTATTTACATGGTTTCACTTTGCAAACAGAATCCCTGCAGACTGTCATTGTCCATATTCAGATCTATTCAGACTGGTTTTGACCCTAAACACACTCCCATGATGTCTGTGGTGTCAAATGGAATAAATGTCGAAGGTTTGTTTGAATAGTGGCTTCTAGCAAAACAGATAAAACTACCTCAAGCTCTCATGGTAGATCAAAAGTGAATGTGAAATCTGGGTGTGGCACATGTGAAGACAAAAGGTGCAACACCAGTTCCAATAAACGAGGGTCAGTTTTTCACTGCCAGAAACTTCTGATTTCCACCTACAAGTAGGACGTGGTCTTTTGTGGTCTTTTTCCTGAATTGATCAGCTGATGATCAAAGATGTGTTTACTTCCTGCAGGAACTCCGGACGCTGATCTGGACTGTGTTGATCCTGATATTCATGAACTCCCAGCAGCTGTGACACGCCCCACTTTGAGCACACACACACACACAGGTGAGAATCATGTGTGATCATGAGATGAACAACTAGAAAGGCTTCCATGAGGAGTCACATGACCAGTCAGGAGTAGAAGTGAATGTTTTTTTTTTCTCTTCTGGATGATTTTCGTTTGATTTTCACATTTAAAAACAGCGTAAAAGCTACATCCTCCCTGATCCTGTCTGGGTAGTTTCACAGTACCCAATGTTGCTGTAGAGCTACATGCCTTTCACATTTGGTTCTTTGCAATATTTTTTTTATATGGCCATATGAATATATGAAAATATTTTCTGGATCATCACCGTAGCAAATGAACACCTGATGTGTCATTTAAATATTCCTTGAAATGCTACTTGTAGTTAAAGAAATGCTGACTCAATAACAGACCAGTCTGATCTGGTTTTCTGTCGTCTGTAATGTTTGTATTCTGTCTTAATCTATTCTTTTTACAGCAGAAATCAAGTTTTTATTACAGTACTGTTCAAACACCATGTCTTACGTCACTCTGAACTTCGCTCCATTAAAGAAAGAAAAGCCGAAACGCTAAATGAGGCATTACACACATCTCAGGATTTCTGCCCTCAGTGGGAGTGAATGACTTCATTTGCTTTGGACCTTGGGTTTTCTTTTAACTTTGCCAACTTGTGACACATTAAAAATAAGTTTGATGCCCATTCTGGAAACTTTAGCTGTCTTTATCCAGATGAAGGGGTCCAAAAGGGGGAGCCTTGGATGTCTTTATCTGAGTGAAGCTGAGCCTGGCTCTGCTGATGAAGATCATGTGATCTCAGGGAAACCTTCAAAGCCGAACATGTTTTATCTCCTGATAACTTTCCTCCAGATGAGGTCACGCTATTGTGCACGTCTGGACAGCCTACAAAGTGTCTCATGTCTGCAAGATCTGCAGCGATTTTCTAAAGGCTTTACTTTATATAATTAGTTGGTTTTAACCAGTCTCCATTATGAGCTTTGGCAGATACACTTTCTCGTTTCTCCTGACATTTAGTCTAAGAATCAGATAGAAGCTGCTGAACAAAAAGGGACTCACACAGAAGTTTGTCTGCTGTCAGGACAAAAGTTATTTGATTTTTTTTTTGTTTAATTGCACAGAAAGCGTTTGCTCAGGGGTCACATTTGGCTGATGAGGCACAAAAGTTTAACTCGGTGTACAAATGAGTGTGAATGCACCCAGAAACAGAAGAACAATGACCTGGAAATGATTAAACACTCAAAAATGTCTTTTCAGCCGCCACAAACATGTTTTTTTTTTGGTCAATAGATTAAACTGCAATGATAAACTGGAATTTTTTGTTGTGTGACGAAAAGTAGCTCATTAGTGCTTTTCTGAAAAAATGGATTGAATAGTTTTTCATCGTTTTTATTAACTCTCTTTTCTATTCCAGCTGTTGGGGGGGTGGGGGTTGTCGGATTTGACTGAGTTGGACAAGAAGACTTCATCCCCGACAGGCAGAGAGGTCCTCCCATGTCACGATTTGGCACCCGACGTGGGACCCAACAGATCTCAGCCAATCCCAGACCTTTTTGTCAGCATCTCAAGGTCCTGAGGTTGTTTTCTAAAGAAAAAAAAGATGAACTTTTAACACATATTGATACATTTCAGAGGGATATTTGTAATAGTTTTATTATCTGAGTGTGGAAAAACCAGGACATCATCAAGATCCTATCTACATTGAGATATTCTATCATATGCTGGGAATATATGTTTATTTGGATGTTTATTAATGCCAAAACTGCTGAGTCAGCTTGTGTAGACATGACTTTCATATTTGAAATGGCAAAGGTGTTTTAAAGGAAGGAAGTAATGGAAATTGCAAATATATATATTCAAAGAAGGCCTGATGTTCTTACAGTGTCTGGGTTTTCCACAGAAATAATGCTACAGTCCTACTTCCACTATGACCCATGAGCTCTAAAAAAGCCTCCCAAAAAGTCTATCAAATATCATTTCATTTCAATCTGTCTCACAAAAGTGGTAAGTAGTTAATTTTTGGTCCAAAAAATGTTGTCTCTGCTTTTTAGAAACATGAACAATGTAAAAAATCTGGTGTTTTATGGTTTATACTGAGACACTTTGCTGTGATTTGATAAATAAGATTTCTTACTGTTGGCCATAATATATTCCCTTTAAATGTTCTGTCCAGATGTTAAATGATTTATAGAGTAGGAAACCATCTAACAGAAAATATGTTTAATTGCTTGCAAGCACATCTACATTTTTTTAGACCAAAGACCTCCTGTTGGAAATGTGAACTTAGTAACTAAGCTTTTATACATAATCCACTAATCTTTCCGACCTCCTTTTATTAACGGAAGCAACTCATAAATTATGATTCTGTTACATTTGAGCATGGCTGGAATCGGTTGTGAGTGAGCAGAATCTGTCTGAAAATCAAGTTAATATGATGTTTAATTGAATAATTTCAGTGTCTACCACAAATTGTTTAACAAAATTAAAGATTTGAGTATAGATGGATTTAATTTTATATCATATGTCTCTATTTCAGTTTAACTTTCATCCCAGTGCAGCAATTTTGAAACACTTTTCTTCTCTTGGTCTGCTGTTAGAAAAATATATTCATTATAAAAGTAATACAAATAAACCAACAAAATGTAATACACTTAGCAAAAATCACCTCAAACAAACAAAGATCTTTAAATTCCCTGCTGTATTTGTATTGATTCAAATTTACATCTAAAGCTTCACCACTGGTTATTTCATTCAGTAACATCACAAACTTTGTGTAAGCCAAACACCAGCACTTTGCCAACAGCAGCACTTACCAGTGGGCTTTCCCACTAAATGACTACATTTTGTATCTTAAAGCGACGCCCTGTCCAGTTAAAATGAAACTCTTATGAACAAATACAACCTTCATACCTTCAACCTTTAACAGCCAGAATAGTATTTTGGATTTAGATAACACTGGTGTAACATATCCATTTTGATTGTCAAGTAGAAAAAGATAAAATTCCAAACACAATTTACAAAATAAGACCCAACACGAAAGCTTTTCCCTTTTCAAAACTGGTGCGATACAAAAGCCATTAGAGGGATTTTTAAAATGACCAAGATAAGATGCTTAAGTGCTTTATTGTTTTTCTATTTTTGTATTGCAATAAAATTTTAGAAAATAAGTAACACCCTCTTTGTTGTTATTTAATTCAGGGAATATGCTTTGCACACACGAATAAAAACTCAGGAGAAGAGATCAAATAGCATTTCAAGTGTCTGCTAAGAAGAGGGCTGTTTTAGACGTGATCTCTGCACTGTGAGCTTTCACATTTCTGGCCTCAAGAACACAAGAGCCTCTCCTAGATAAGATAAGAAAATGCAGCTTGATCACAAATATTGTTACTAAAACTGTTTGGAGCATTGCGTGAGGCCGCGTGGTCCACCGAGTTGAAATCTCCTTTGATCCAGACCGAGGGCATACGAGTCTGAGGAGGCTGCATCGTGATCCCAGCTTCACTCAGACAGTTCAGGGTTCACCGGTGCTGTGGGGCCAAAGAACGAGGGAGTTGGGACACGGAGCATTCCCGCCGGTGTCAGGGCTCATCGGCTCAAACTGTGAAGGAGTGGCTCAGGGAGCATGAAACGCCTTTATCACACAGATTCCAGATGTTAACTGCTGAGAATCTGACGGGGAGGACTCTTTATGGAGCCCTGAATCTCCCACAGTCAGATAAGTTACGAGACTCTTGACAGAAGTCAGTGTTGTGACATTGCGTAATTGCATGCAAAGTTAAATAATACCAGTGTCATCTGGGACCTCTGATTATTCATTTTAAGATGTGATATATGTTGTCTTCCTCCGTTCCCTGAAACTAATTCACTTTTCCAGTGAGAGTGTTTGTTTTTCTCTATTGTCTTTGTGTTGGCCTAGTAATGGACTGATGGACTTGATAGAGGCCGGTTTAGGATCTGCCCTCCTAGTCACCCTGAATTTGATTAAGCTGGAAAATGAATGAATGGATGATCCACTTTTCCTATTCGGTCGGATGAATGTTTCATCGCACATGGAATTGACTTTTTCATGTGACAGGGAATTTTTGGTTATCAGAGCTGAAACAATCTTTAAATCTAATTTACTTAATTAGTAACTGTATTTGAGTGTTGTTTTGTGGGATTTTGTGTATTCATTCATGAAAATGTCATGTTTTACTTACTGTTTGTAAACTATTAAAGACTTGGAGAACAACCACCACAAAAATCCTGGCAATTTGCCTGTTTTTATCAGAAAATAAGTTATTTTCTTCCCTTTGGTTGGTTGATTGGATCACATAATGGTGTTAAAAATCCCTCTAACCCTCTCTCACCTCATTTCTTTTCTCTAGGAAAAAACTCAGTCACGAGCCCACATACCGTTTTCACTATTTCATTCGTTTGTGGTTATTGTCAACCAAATCCACAGAAAGCAGCAACGGCCACAGTGATCCTGTCATTGCTTTTTGGTCCTTTGTTTGAGTTACCGTGGTGGGTTTTTTCTTCCTGGACCATAAAAAGGCTGTGGCTTGGGAGTCATTTGGTTTGCTCAAAGCAGTACATAATGTTTATGTTATACATATAAGCTTCCCTCAAGTGTTATGGCGCTGGTTTTAAACACATAACTTACTGTCATTTCACTCTTTTATGGATCCATTTGTCATTCTTAAGCCTCCACGTGAACATTCATGTGTATGATAATGAAATCGATCCTCTGGAGCTTCACAGGCGCAGATTGAGTGTTTGTTTTTCTCCAGCAGATCCATCCGTTTTCTACACCTGGTTATTCCAATTCAGGGTCACATGGGACTGGGGCCTATCCCAGCTGTCCCTGGGCCAGAGACGGGGTAAACCCTGGTCTTGAATTAACATAATGCGCATATTTTTGGCTGGTGTCAGGAAGGAACCCAAGCAAACACTCTAACAGTTCTTGACTATTCTTATGCTTTTTGTAAAAAAAAAACTGTCATGATGTCACCAGCTAAACACCAGCCCCCCCTCTGAGTGTCAGCATGAGACCTGGAGGCTTCATTTGTTGGGGTTTATTTCTGGTGTCCGTGCTGGATGTGGTCGGCGTATGACGACGTTTTGATCTTGATCAGAGGTGTCTGTTAACAAGAACGAGTCCATCAGTGTCAAAATTACCAGCGAGTGTTGATAATAAGTGAAAGGGGGAGGTGGTGACGAAAACCTGAGGCTAAGCAGTTATTTCTGTCCTGGAGGAAATTGCACGACACCACAAATCCCGAAGCTTCCCTCTGATAAATGTCAGATTTTTTATCTGGATTTCTAGCTTTTATTATCTCAGTGCAGAACATACGTAGAGTCATGCAGAGGAACTCTGCCTAAGTCTTCCTGTTTCAGTCTTTTACAAGCAAAGAACAGAGCCAGTGCAGATAAACAAAGTACGAAAAGGTCTTCGATCAGTGTTGCAATTCTCATATTAAAGTAAATTTCTATTTTAATGCAAAAAAGAGAAAGTGTCTTAATGACGCTCATTTTTACTCCCAGCGAAGAAGTACTTATAATAGAACATACTTATAATATTATAGCCTTTTTTGCAATTCGGAATTACTTTTTTTATCATTATCTTTTATCCATTTTGTCTTGTTTTACAGAGTTGACAACAGGCAAGAAAAATACAAAATAAAACTTTATTTAAATACAAAAACATGAGACAGAACAGAAACAAAACACAGAAACACAGAAACACAGGAACACAGGAACACAGGAACACAGGAACACAGAAAGACAAACAAGATGCTTACTGGTGTGAAAACATAATCTAACAACATTTCTGTAATTCAGGGATGCAAATGAAATGTCGGCTTCTTGTTTTCATTCATAAAAAAGAGTCTTAACTCATAAATGTCCTCAAACTACAGTAAAGTGGATCCAAACTGTACCACATACTGACGCACACACTCTGATATGAAGGATGAAAGGCGTCCTTGATGCCCTTGGCCGTCGGTGATCTTCAGTAAAGCTCGACAGTCAGCGTCACAGCAGGTGGACGACTGAATACACGGTTTCATCTCTGTGCTGACGACTTTGCCTTACGAAGACGATTAATTATGATGACAAACCCAGCGGCAGAAAGTTTGACGTGACTCCATCAAAATTTAACACCAAAAAAGACTCAAATTTCCGTATAAACCTGTAAAACTAGTACAGTCCCTATTCATTTTTCAGAAGCAGCCAGTACTTCAGACCCAGACTCAGCAGCTCACCTCCATCCAGAGTCTAAGAGACACTCTTTTTTCAGGATGTCTTTGCAGGATCTTATGTTGCTTCTGCGCCTCATGAAAATGGGTTTAGCTTTTCCAAATGGCACGAAGTGAAAACAACTTGAAATATTTAAATATAAATAGAAACTTATATGATATTAACATACATTTTTATTCATGAAAATAGTTATTTATATGGTCCTATATTCATTTATGTGGCAACAATTATGGTGGTTCTTTTTCAAGCGCTTGTCATTTCAACGGAAACTCTTAATATCACAGATCCATTTGACATTTGATGTGACCAAAACGTGCTGGGCTGGAAACTGCAGCCACTCCCTGTTTAAAATGGCTTCTGATTGATCGAATCTTCTTGCCCCCCGAAGCTCTGGCTCCAAATATTTGAAAAAAAAAGGGTTTTAAAAGCTTTACAGTGAGCAAAAGGGAATATGAAGAAAGCATTTATCTGGAACTCCTTCAAGCCTCACATACCATCATTTTTTTCCTGTAACACGGTGGATTTAAATTCCAATAGTTGGTCTCGGTAAAGGTGGGGCAACAGTTATCAGTCCTGCAACGCTGTGGATGAGTATGTGTGTGTTTTTAAAGTCCTGGCAGGCTGGATGTTTGACTCACGCTGGAGCTGCGGCAGCTTCTCATTTTTCTCCTGAAGGTGACTGAGGCTGGAGGTCGTCCTCTCCTCTCCGTCCCCGGTTTTCCTGAATAAACAGCGCCTATGTGTGACGCCAGCCTCAGCCTCGACTGTCAAGCCAAGATTTATCTTTGACTGCAGGTTTATACTAATTCTGACCCAGAAAAAAAATCAGGCACTGCTTCAAGATTGTTTTCACCGACCAGTCATGTCAAATCTGGGGTTGGATTAAAAGTAGATGAAGGTTATGGAAGTCATTCACCTCAAGTTAGAATTCATTAACAAGCATGATGGTCTTTGATTTTGTAATGATTGGTTTCCTCATATATTTCCTCATATATATATAGATTTTTAGTCGAAATCCCCAAATATATTGGAATGTAGACATAAATGTTTTAATTTGAGTATAAATCAAACAACATCATGCTATAGGTTGTATTGAATAAAGAATTTCTCACCTTATGACCCCAAACAATTAAATGATAAAATGACAGAAATAATTAAGTGACTTTTGTGATTAGTTCAGATTATATTCTTTAGAAAATATCAACTGGCTTGGTTGAATCTGGAGTAAGAAAACTATTCAATGTTGTTAAAAAAAAACATGTTAAAAAGTAGTCACATTTTTGAAAGTTTTTCCACTGTTTTACAGTTTAATGGTATGAAATAACTGTAGACTTTGATCTGTTTTTTATTTCAGTCAGCCCTTTGGTGTGCAGGCCGCAGTGACTTTGTGCTCTCTCGCTTTTGATGGGACGGTGGACCAGATGTTTCCCCGCAGCAGATCAATGCAACAAAAAAGCTTTAATTGGTTTTAATGTCGCAGCCAGATGCAGCGAATCCACACAGCCCAACACCAATATTTACAGTGTAATGACGCGACGGCTTTAATGAACTCCATCATTCTCTGGATGTGGTTGAGGCCGTCGGTAGCGGCGGTGCCGAAGGTTCCAGACTTTGTGCTGAAAGACTCCGTCAGATGTGAAAACAGCCACAGCTGAGCCGGTGTGGAGATAGCAGCTTTTCAGTGGGCTGACATTTAGCAGTTAATGAGAGTTGAGATGAAAGCAGAGAGCAAACGAGTCGAGGTGCAGGTCGCAGCACGATGCAAATGAGACGAGGAAAAGGGCACAGGCGTTTTCCTCCTGCGTCATCATTAAGCTTAAACTGCCCCGAGTTCAGCTGCACCAGACCGACTGCTTTCAGCTCCTGTGAATGATAAACACAGAGTCCTGAGGGCCACTCGCCTCTGACCTGTGACCCCTGTGGCAGAGAGCAGCTTCAGCTTAACAAGCAGGTGGAGACAGAGGGTAGTGATCCAGGTGTCAGGCCGGTCCTCCAGAGAAGCCCACATATTGTGTTTTTCGGTCTTTAGTATCATGTTTATGGACGGTGAAACCAAATTTATCACATAACAAAAGATCGAGTGGCTGTATATCTGATACAGCCAGCCAATTCATTTTAGAATCAAATCAGGTTCTTCATAAAAATCATTTCATTTTCAGAAGAAGTGCTCAAGTATGTTAACATGAATTCTTTTCAAACAGACATAAAGTGAGTACAATTGCTCAAACATTAATCAATTCACAACCCTACAAAAAAAAGTTACAATGCTGCAAATATTTTGTAAATAAAGCATACAAACGAACCATTACAAAGACAGAAAATGACCGAGATAAGATAAAGATTCCCATTAACAACACAGAAACAAGAAAATGCAAGGACAAGGATGCCCAACTTGGACAAAAAGTAAACACTATGGATACAAAACTGCCAAAAAGCGATGCAACTAACAAAAAATGACAAGCTTGGGTGAAATGATCAGAAAAAGAGGCGAATTTATTACAAGGGCACACAAGAGAACTAGAAAAAAACAGAACAAGCAAAACAAAAGATGCAGAACATCACAACTGGACATAATAGTCATAGTGGGCTCAAATGGCGACAGAGAGAGATGAGAAACAATGATTTTAACCTCCGACCATCACAAACTCTGCGTCACAGTCCGACCTCTGACCTCGGTGCAGCGGGACCTTCCATGTAAACATTCAGCTTCAACCCGTTTAATATTAACTCACAGGCACACCATCAATCACAGGACAACACATCCACACACGTTATCTGATGAGCTGAATACATGAATAATCCGAGCGAACAGCATCACAGCAGGAGGAGGGCGAGGAGGACGACCAGACGGTATAAATACAAGAGCGGGAGGAACTGGAGCTAATGAGGAAGGAGGACAGGTCCAAAAACGACAGAAAAACTAAAAGAGAATATAAGAGAAAAGAAAAAGTGAGTGAAACTGCAAGTGGAGCTGAAATAAGACACCAAAGAGGACTATTTCTGGGAAATTTAAAGTGAGTTTGTTTCAGTTTTACAGAACTTGATTGGCTATGTTCATAGACAGTTTAATATGTGGGGAGGAGAAGTGTGATTTTCTGTTCTTAACTCCTCAGGTTTTTTAACACATTTTTGGAGATGGAGCACATGCGAGCAGTGGTCTACCTTTCTGTCTGTTTGACCGTGATGACATCACTCTGTCAGGGTGAAAGGTCACCTGAAAATCAGCTGCCGTCCGCACCAGACGAGCCGATTCTCGGACTCTCAACCAACGAACTGGTGAGTGTTTTGTCCTTTGAGCAGCACCTGAACGGGACCTTTATTTTATTAAAGTTGTGAGCGGTGTTTAGATTTTCATACAGACCTCATCTTTTTTTTTTTAGCTCATTGAGACATCAACATGTTTTCATAATAGATTCAATGAAGCAGAAATGCGAGTTAAAGAAACAACAATGGAATGAGCAGATCAAATGAGTTCATGACACCAGAAAAATTTGCAATTAAAGCAAATCCATGATAATAACAAAGAAGTGTTAATTGAAATATCTTTTAAGAAATAATTGATAATTTTGTAAACCTGCAAAGTGGCCGAGGTGGCAGAAAATTGAATTAGCAGATAAAGAAATCGTGTTAAACTGTGAAAAAGGATTATGTTTGGGGGGGGGGGGAATTCAGAACAGTTTTTTATCTTGCAATCGAACTAATCACAGTTTTAACTTTAGAAAGATTATTCTGAAAAAAATAACTTAAGAGTGGTATTGCTTAAATCCATCATAAAGAAAATAATAAATTCAAAAACAAAATTAACTAGTCGTTAAATATGAATCATTTTGAAAGGTTATAACACTTTAAAAGAGCATTGGTGCTAAAATTAATATTGATGTGACATTATGAACATCTACATCAAGCATCAAAGCACAATCTGAAGTTCACATCAGATGTACTCTACTGACAGACCTAAACTTAATTCTGATTCATCTGTTCATATTTACAAAAAGATTGCATTAGTTTCCATTCAGGTGAAGGTCAGTAAATATCATTCAAAGGTCTCTACAGTCGGCTTGAGGTAGGGAAACACCAAACAAACTCCATGATCATTTCGGATGATGATCGCAATCTGGTGGTAATGTTACCAATCTGGAGGTTAAACTCATTTTGCTGTTTTTCTGTACATGCTCATTTTTTGCATTTTTTTTCACCTTTCATGCACGGTGAAAGCTTTGCATCATGATAAAAACATTTTGTTTATCTAGAAGGATGACACAAAATAAAGAACCACAGTTTTTATCAGATAGGTCAAATTGCCGAAGCAAAATTTGCGCTTCCTGAAAAAGACATCTAAAACCTTTCATGCAAATCCCTGAATACGTTTCGAAACAATCTGGTTGCACCAGGCTAATGTCAACAGCCTTGTCTTGACTTTAATATTCCTTATGCTCACAAACCCCAAAAACGGCTCCTCCTGGAGAGGCATTAGGGTAGCCTGCTGCTCAGATTTTAGGTTTATGTTTATGCATGTATCCAAAGCGACTTACAAAGTAGAATATATACATGTGTATCTCCCAGTCTGATCCCAGAATCAATCCCAGTCCACCCTGTGACTGGCAGGGACACTCTCCTCGATACTACAGTGGTGAGTGCAGTACAGACTGCTGTCTAGAATTTCAGATCCTGGCTGAAAACTCCCTTTTGTATCTTTGAATTTGATTCAAGTTGATTGAGAGCCTCTTTCATTCTTTTGTTCTGTGATGTCTTTTTGACAATCCATTCCTGATAAATATTTAAGTTTAATTTTATTCATTGATTTCATTCATTGATTCATTTTCTGTCTTGAAGTGAAAATGTAAAGTATATTGGAGCCTTGTAGCTTCAGAAATTATATTTATTTGGTCAGTGCAGTTTTACACGTTCCTGTTAGGAAGTCATCCATTTTCTGGTGAGCAGAAATCTGTCCTTACTTAGTTTTACAATGATAGTTATAAACATTTTCTGAATGAGACAGATGGAGCAAATCAGTGAGTGTCACTAAAAATGATCTAGCTGTTGATCATTGGCTGTCCAGTTATGATTGAATTACCACAGACACATGTTAAAAACAAACAGTGTATGTATTTATGTTTTTGTGCGTTTGTGTTCAGGCTGAAGCTCTGCAGGGTCTCCTGGAAGAAGCCGACAGCAGAGTCGGACTCTCTGTGGAGAAGAAAGCCAGCGTGATCCCACGGGTGAGAACATGACTGACCGCTGTCAAATCTCACGGCAGCTACTATTACCACTAATAAGTAATAGAGTATTAATAGGGGAAGAAGTCTTTAAACGCTGTTTGAACTGACTTTACAAGGGACTGGATTTAATCTAATTGGGAAGATTCAACTGTACAGGACAGAATAAATGTGATAAATAAATTAAAAAATTAAAAAAATATTTTAAAGGTAGAACTCCCTAGAGCAGCTGTCCTTCTCCTCGGGAGATCAGTGGATGAAATTCACATTTACAGATTGATAGTATGCAATCTTTAGGCAGGCTGTTACCCATTGAATCTAAGTAAAAAGACAATTAAAAGTAAATCTCATCCATCATCAGTAAACAAGAATTTGGTGAGATTTTCTCCAATAAAGCCAACCTCTGTTCTTCTGTCAGTGTGACGTGGGCGAGCGCTGTGCGATGAAACATGGACCTCGGATTGGCCGGCTGTGCGATTGTCTGAGGGGGACGGCCTGCAACACCTTCTTCCTGCGCTGCTACTGAGCACACAAACGCCAGTGCTGCTATATTTGTGAGGACAAAAATCCTGCAAACATGAGCCTTAAATCAGGCCTGAATTTTTTGTCCTCACAAAGATAGACATCCACACTGTCCCACACACACTGGACTGTGTTTCTGCATATTGGACTTTGTTTTAAAGTTTCCGTGTCCATCAGTCAGATTAATTTATTTTTGTTAATAAAGACTCTTCACAAAGCTGCACGACTCCAGAGACTTCATGATTTCCAGAGCACCTGACAGGCTGAACTCAGACAGTTGGAGTGTCATATGAGCCGTAGATGAGCTCCAAATATGTTTTCACTCAGCGTTATGACTGTTTATTGTTGTATTTGGTCAAGAAAAAACCTACTACAACACACCTGTAATTTCATTTACTTTTCTGATCAGTTTTCAGCTTCTTAACCTGTTTGTCTATCACTAAATGTTTGTGAGAAATCATTTTAAAAGATCAAATAAATGTTATCTGAAGATTGCTTATGTCTCTATCAAGAAGTATTTAGTTATTGTTTGTTTGGTTGAACATCATTCATTGTGCGTTGAATAAAAAGGCACCGTTGTAATTCACAGTCTGACCAGGTGGTGGCACTGTGTTCTACTCAAATTGCTGTTCTAACCTATAAAAATATGACAGAAGAGGAGAAAATAAAGCAAGTCTTGGGTAATTCTTAAGTACAAGTTTCATCCGGAGGACTTTTTTAAAAATAAATTTACAGCTGAGGGTGTGTTTTTCTTTTTTAGACCACCTCTAATCTCAGTCCAGTGGAAAAAAAGAAAGACAAACTGCAAAAATTACCATTAAAACTAATTTTTTTCCATTCCATATCTCAGTATTGTTGTTATTGTTATTAAACTAAAATAAGAGTAGACATAAACCTTTTCAATTGTTCTGAATAATTTTTCTATTCAGCTTAAAAAAAAAAAACTAATTTCAGACTGTTATAGGGATATTATTTGGTAGAGACAGATGTAAACAAGCAGAAATAGCATACTTCTCCAATCAATCATCACTGATTGATCAGTCTGTGTCCATCAGACCCCCGGTGAGGCTGATCAGCCCAAAGGCCTCATCCCTCAACAGCTGACAAACCCCTAAAAAAGACACCAAAGCAGCAGCAGCAGCACGCAGCAACTTCTATTCACTCTGAAATACCGCATCATCAACTGCTGGTTATTTAGCATGTAACACTCATTTGTACAGTGTTACCCCTATTGTGCACGGCAGACCCCTCTTTTAAGGCTTAGGTCCTCTGCCATATACTGGGGGTCATCTGTCCAGGGGTCAGGACCCTGACTGATGTATGGGGATCATTAATGGCTACTTTTAATTCCCACGTCTTTTCAACTTCTAGAGCCGTTGGTACTTTTCCAGTCTCTCCTGTTCTCTCTGTTTGAATCTGACTGTTCAGAGTAATGTAATACACTCTAAAACTTGAAAAAATGTGATTGCAGTCTATGTCCAAGGAGGCCGTTTTGGGCAGACTTTGGGGCAGCGGAGGGGAGGGGAGGGGAGGGGGGGAGGCGAGAGGGAGGGGCCGCCGCCGCTGCCGTGTGACCGGGGGGCGACGGGAGCAGCGACGGGAGCAGGAAGAGGCGGCTGCTGGAGGCCGTTCCGCGGAGCTGAAGATGTCCAAAGCGCTGGCGTTCAGGGCGCTGGTGCGGCAGCGGCTGACGGCCGCCCTGGAGGAGATCTTCGGGCTGTTCGAGGGCGCCGTGGCGGAGTACGAGGAGGAGATAGGGCGCCAGCGCAGCCTGCTGGAGGCTCGGCCGGAGCCCGGGAGAGGCGGAGCAGGTCGGTGCCTCCGTCTGTTTATGAAGGGAGTTTCAGCCGCAGCGTCACGGAGGTCTTTCCGCCCCACGAAGCGGAGTTTAAACGGGGGGGACACAGCTGTTAATCAACGATAGATAATTAAACGTTGTCTGCGACTCTGACGTAGACACAAAGACCGGAAGTCCAGCCAAGTGACCTCCAAAATAGTAGCTGTTACTTTTCTTTCTTTCCCTTTTTTTATCTTGTATAAAATGACAAACCATATGAATAGAACGATTATGAATATGATGATCTATAACGATAGCATAATCGTGAAAATATTGATAGTAAATAACAAATTAAACTTTTTTTTACAGTTTAATTTAAATTGCAAAAAAAGAAATAACTTATTTTAGATCATACTAACACAAGTTTCAGATTCTCTTATTAAGTATAAGTGAATTAATTAATAAACAGAACATTTATCTTAAAATAAACTATTCAACATACAGTGTCATAGGAAGTTCACAGATTAGGATCTGACCATGAAAGCACCGTGGTATGTTTTGAAGGCAAAGACTGAGCCGGAGGGAACGGTTTTGTTAAACCTGTAAATTCTTTATCTGCTGATAAAAAATTGTCAAAAGAAATTCCCTGGCCTTACATCAATGACTGCATTATGCTGTGTGCATTTCGCCTTTCTGTGCAGGTGTCTATGGGTGTATTTTGGGGGAAGAAACGTGTCCTCCTGAGCCGCAGGACAGGGGCTCCAGTCCGCACCAGGAGGATCTAAAGCGTCCGCACATCAAAGAGGAGCACAAACAGCTTCAGGTCCAGCAAGAGGATGAAGTCACAGTTTTTGGTCCAATTTTGGTGAAGAGTGAGGAAGAGGAAGAGAAACCTCTGTACTCTCTGTTGTATCATGCACAAAGTGCACAACTAGACGACCGTGCGATTCCAGATTCAGACGGGAAAACATCAGAATCTGAGTTAAAAACAAGAGAAAACCACACGTCTACCAGGACGCCTCAGCCACATAAAGACCCTCTGAAAAACAGAAGCTGTGATTGGAGTGACAAACCTTTCTGCTGCTCCGCTTGTGGAAAAAGGTTTAGCCAAAACTCAAATCTAAAGACGCACATGAGAATCCACACCGGAGAGAAGCCGTTTAGCTGCTCCTTTTGTGGTAAGAGATTCATCCAGAAGGTGCACCTGAGGCATCACCTGGCGCGCCACACGGGGGAGAAGCTGTTCGGCTGCAGCACTTGCGAGCAGAGGTTTAACTGGCTCTATCAGCTGAAAAACCACCAGTGTGTCAGAGCAGCGCAGCGCTTCGCCGAGGAAACGAGAGAGGCAGCAGAGCCGATGGAAACTGCAGCCGACAGACGGGCAGAACCCGAAGAAACGGCGAGATGTTTACAGCCGGGTGCCCATGACACGACCTCACAAAGTGCTGCAGCTGGGAGGGGTTTCAGCTGCCCCGACTGCAGTAAGACATTTTCTCAAAAGGCTTATCTGCTGGAACACCTGCGATGTCACAGAGGGGAAAAAGCTTTCACCTGCTCAATCTGCAACAGAGGCTTTCCCTGGAGGAAACAGCTGCAAAGACACATGAGGACACATTTAATAGAGCAAAAGCTGGGGTGCAGTGCATGTCACAAAGTCTTTAGTTGGCCTTATCAGCTCAGGGTGCATCAGTGTGCCAGTGAAGAGTCCTCACGCTCACATCCAACACAACCTTCCCCCAACTGGCGCTCTGTCCCCGTTAGCCATGTAGGTCACGGTGCCTTGAAGCAGTTCCCCTGCTCTCTGTGTGGGGAGACGTTCGGCCTTAAGGACATGCTGCTGCGCCACCTCCGGTGTCACACAGAAGACGAGCCCGGTTTGTGGAAAGCGGTCCAACGCACAGGGAACACAGGGAAACATGCTCATTCACAGGGGGGGGCATCGATGGCTCAAACAGCTCACAGGGACAACGGGCTGTTCAAACAGACGTAAAAGCTCGCCGTCATGTTTCAATAAAAACTGAAAGCCCATTGTTTTTTTAAAACTTTTATTATACCGACAAGTGGAATAAGCCTCCAAGAGATTGACAGGTATAAAGAGAAACTGCAGAGGTGTGATTTCTTATATGAGTTTTTACAGTTCATTCCTATTTCACATCAGATTCACAATCTCATTCTTGACCAAGAGACTCAAAGTTGATAATAATTTACAATATAAATGAGGAAGATAGTCATGTTCCTCTGTAATAAAACTGAAATATCTGAGGTATGTGGGCATGCTGTGGCTAACATCAGTACATAAAGTCACACCCTGTTTATAATACTGTAGTAATGTTTTTCTCTCTTTTGTGTGAAGCTCAAACACTGTGTCTGCATCCCATAACAAAGACAGTTGTAAAGTTTCTTTCCTATAAAGGAATATCATGCGTTTTACTAATCTGAACAGAAGTCTTTTTAAAGGAAGTTTTTCACACAGCACAGCTGAGAGCTTCTTTTCCTTTGTGACATCTCATGTGAGAAGTTAAATATATAGATTTGCTGAAGCCTTGACCGCAGACCGCGCAGCTGAAGGGCTTTTCTCCGCTATGGACTCTGGTGTGGTTGACAAAGTCCTGTTTCCTTCTGAAAGCCGCTTCACAGATGGAGCAGCTGAAAGGTTTCTCGCCCGTGTGGATTCGCGTGTGCTCCACGAAGGCGTTTTTCCACTTAAAGGTCGCCTTGCAGAAGGAGCAGGTGTAAGGTTTTTCCCCCGTGTGACTCCTCATGTGACGACTCAGACCCACGCTGTGCCTGTAGGTCTGCCCGCACACTGAGCAGCTGAAGGGTTTCTCCCCTGTGTGGGTCCTCAGATGCTGCACTAAGGTGTATTTCCTTTTAAAAGTTGCACTGCAAACAGAGCAGCTGAAAGGTCTTTCTCCTGAGTGGATCCGTGTATGTTCCACACAAGCGTTTTTCCATGTGAAGGCTGCATTGCACACAGGGCAGCTGTAAGGTTTCTCCCCTGTGTGGATCCTCCTGTGTCCCAGCAGACGCCCCCTCCTGCTGAATGTTTTACCACAGTCACTGCAGATGTGGGATTTCTTACCAGTGTCACATTTCAGGTTTGAGTTTAAACTTGCCCGAGGTTCACTGCTCTCCTCCCAGTTTCCCTCGCTGACGTCTGTCACTGAAGACTCTGAATCCCTCTCCTCTGTGTCTGACCCCACACTATGATCTGGACCAGGTTGTGGTTCTCCCACAGGGTCCCTGTTCTTTTCACTCTGAGTGTGATGAAGCTGTGATGATTGAGGTTCCTCCTCATCATCTTCACTCTTCACAGGGACAGGTATGAACGTAAACTTGATAATATCAGCCTCCTCTTGCTCCTTTTTAATCTGTGTTGGCTTTACGTCCTCTTGGTCCAGTCTGGGACTCCATCTCTGCTGATCAGGAGGGAACTCCTCTTTAACTACCAAAAGCTGGTGAATACCTGCAGGAGAAAGAAAGACACACAATAAATAAATGCAAGTAAAAATAAAATAAGTCATACTCATTTTGATTTATGCCAAGCAAATTATAAGTTTTAGACATAAAAGATTCTTCCAGGGGAAAAGATACCAGGTTTAAAAGTTTAAATGCGCTCAAATGATTTAGACATATGTTCAACAGCAAATGCTGATATTCAAAATTCCACATAAAACAGCCAAATCAGTCTTATTTTTAAAGTTCTTTGCTACCTTGCATTGTGTACCTTCAGTGTCATTAACTATATGTGGATTATCATGCTGTCAACATGTAAACATTTGCAAAGAGATATACACATCTATGCATAGTGTCAACGAGGAAGTAATAAAAACTAAATATTACTAAAAGATGCATACAAAATAAATACAAATTGTTAATTGTAGTGTTACACAAAGAGCTCCCCATACCATTTTCTTGTGTTTTTTTGCAGTGAATACAAGCTACAAAATATGTCAAGCCATACAATAGATTACATAGACACACTGTTTTTATATACCCCTTTTTTCTTTAATTCTGTGGTTATCAAGGTAGATTCCCCTCAAACACCATGCTGTATATATATACATCAAATATAAGTGGCAACAATGAAAGAAGAAAGCATACCGCAACAATCCTTTCTTTCGTCTGCAGCACTTGGTGTCTGTCTCTCCAGCCCTACCAACTGTTGGACTTCAGACATGTCAGACACTGCTTTTTCAGCAGAAACTCTAAAATTCAGCTGGTCTCCATCAAACTGTCGCTCTGACTTGATGCGCCGCTTCCGGCTAACATGCTAAGCTAAGGGCTGCAGCTGTGTAGATTTGTATCTTCGAGTCAGGGAAATAAAGTCAGAAACAGGATGACCGAAACAGAGCATATCCAGACATCTCACAGAAGCTCACTGGACTACATCGGTTGTGATGTTAGGCTAAAAAAGAGAAGATGAAGGTGTTGTTTTTTGCATCAGCTGTTGATACAAGGAAGCCACTTCCGGTTCGCCGGTCGGTAGACTTCCGGTTTTGGCTGAATGGAGTGATTGGATTTAATCAATCAACAGTGCATAAAAAAAGGCATGGAAACAGTTATCGCATGTCCGTTAGATTAAAGCGGGTCTGGATTTTGCTTCAGGATGACCCAAAGCTCTTCTTCGCCCTTTCAAGCCCTTTAAAAAACCAAAAGAATTCAAGTGTTGTAGCTGATATGAAGAATGATGATGGGGAGTTTAGACAGCTACTTTCTTAATTGAATAACATAATCAGTCTTTTACAAAAATGTTTCTGTCTGCATTTTCATGAAATACGTGACAAAAAGCATAACAACGAAAATGTGATCTATGTGGTGGCTTAGTTTATGGAGTTGTGCGACTTCACCTCCATGGTTAAGCAGCTCTAACCTAAACTAAAACTGTGTCACACACATGATGGTGACCCAATCAGGTGCCATTAGATGGAGGAAAGCTGAGCATGTCGAAAAGGGGCTTTATTGAAAGAACTGCTACATCTACGAAGCTCCCATGAAAGAAACTTGTCCATGTGTGCTTCACCAACACTAAGTTTCAACATCTTTTATGGGGAAAAAAAAAAAACGAAACACTGACATAATAAATGATCATGCTCAGCTTTGTGTGTCGGTGTGCTGCAAAATGTTGCACGTTGACGCCCGTGGAGGAGCTAACTTTGTGTGTGATGGGTGGGGGTCCTGCTTCTTCCGTGAATTAATTGGATACTTAATTAATACTACAAATAATAATACTAATAATGATTCTAAAGGAAACCAACATAATCCAAGGCACAAACATCCACAATTTAGCAATTTATTAACAACATGAACAACAGACAGCTATTATTAACCAGAGTATAACGGTATAGATTGATGTTTTTTCCCCTACTTACTAGAATTTAGCTAGATACTTCATTTCAGTTTGTCAAAGTGTTGAACCCAGGGCTTCAGGAGGTAACTGGGTAGCTATATAGTTACTCTAAATGACTTTTCCTTAACCACCACAAGGGAACCAGGACTAAATTTAGACAAGAGTCATTCTTTGACTTGCATATAAAACAGGTGATATAGCCTCCAAAATTAGGAACAAGCTGTCTCATACTCTACTGCTGTAATTCTTTATCACAGGCTGTCCTAAAACAATCTCGGAAAAGCCCCAAAATGCTACAGACACCCTTTTGTTACCTTTAAGATTAGGCTTAAGGCCATCAGTTTTTGTGGTACTTTGAGTGTCGGACCAGGTCCCGTTTCCTTCTAAAAGTTGCCTCACAGTCAGAGCAGCTGTACGGTTTCTCTCCTGTGTGGATTCTTCTGTGTTCCATAAAAGGACCACTCCACTTAAAAGTGGCATTACAGATGGAGCAGGTGTATGGTTTTTCTCCCGTGTGGCATCTTGTGTGACACTTTAGGCTCTCTCTGTATTTGAAATGCTGACCGCAGATGGAGCAGCCAAACGGTTTCTCTCCTGTGTGGATTCTCATGTGTTGCACTAAAGAGTGTTTCCAAGAAAAATTGGCTTTACAGACGGAGCAGCTGAACAGGTTTTCGGCCATGTGGACTCTGGTGTGCTTCACCAGCGCATTTCTCCATTTGAAAGAGGCTTTGCAGATGGAGCAGGCGTAAGGCTTTTCTCCTGTGTGACATCTTTTGTGGCTGTTTAGGCTTTCCTTGTGTCTAAACCGCCGATCACAAACGGGGCAGCTGAACGGCTGCTCGCCTGTGTGGATTCTCATGTGCTGGACATAGGAATGCTTCCATGTGAAAGAGGCCTCGCAGACGGTGCAGCTGAAGGGCTTCTCTCCCGAGTGGATCCTCTTGTGTCGCAACAGGCACGGCTTGCGGTTGAAGGTTTTACCGCATTCAGTGCAGCTGTACAACTTTTCCGATTCCTGACTGACATCATCTCCGAGGCCATCCTTATCTTTTCCGGAGTTTAAGCCGGACTGAGCCTCACCGCTGTCATCCCAGTGTCCCTCGCTGACATCTGTCTCGGATGACTGTAAAGTCTTGTCCTCAGTGTCGGATTCTAAACACTGACCTGGAGAGGAGTCTCTATCCTCCTCAGTCTGATTGTGAAGAAACTCAGAAGACTGAGGTTGCTCCTCCTCACCATCTTCACTTTTCACATCAATAGGACCAAAAGTGAACTCTATGATATCCCCCTCCTCCTCTTCCTCTTTAATTTGTGGGGTTTTTGGGTCCTCCTGGTCCAGGCTGTGACTCCAATTCTGATGTTCAAGAGGATACTCTTCTTTAATCACCACCACCTGCTGAACATCTGCAGGAGGAAACACAAAAATATTACAGAAAAGTTTATATTTCAGCTGTAAAGCTTTTACAACACCGTAGATATAAAGTCATTAACTGCTGACTAACGAGCAGTTTTAATGGGATGATTAATGAGAACTGATTAACTGGAAGGGCGGTTGAATGATATTTCATTAGCATTTCATTTGCTCGGCACGAGTTTTATTTGCAGAATAAAAAGGTTCTCCTGGTGCTGGAAAAACTTAATTAGGCTTTCACATACTTTTACCAGGCCACTGTTTGGACACACCAACTCATGCCAGATTCAATTAACAGGGTGTTAAACAAGCAACTGCTTGCAAATGTTTCCTGCTTTGCATGGTGTCTCCAGCAGAGGAGGCCATAGCTCCACAGATGTGACCAACACTGTGGCGGAATGTGGTGATTAAAATTCAAAACTTCTATTCAGATCTAAATGCAGAGCATTGACTTAGAAAGTGGGTGTATATGTGGATTTATTGTATATCATATTCTTTAATGAATTCTTTTTTTCTAACAATAAATCATCATAAACCATTTTTCTGAGCTACTTGGCAAATTGACTTTTACCCACAGTAAAGCATTTTTCAATTTTTATGGGTTTTTTATGTCCTTTTTCCTAAAACATCAAGTGCACCCTTTAAATTGTGTTCTGATGTCTGACATTGACTCTCCACATATATTTAAATTATCTTGAATCTGTTTTGTTCTCAGTAGAGGAATAAGTGAAAAGATGGGAACTTTCTTAAGATGTTTAAATCCTGACCAGGTGATGTGCTCAGCATCTGTTACCATGGTGATGTAACTTCGCAACAGGTACAACTCTGGACACAACAAATCTCTTGACGCCAAGCGTTTTGGTTTGTTACACACCCTCTGATCTTAATAAAAATGCTGGGGATTTGGTCAAAGATGCTGGCGAACAAACAAAGAGCATTGTTACCATCAGGTACCAACAGCTGTTCTTCTGTCTGACTGCCTGGTTCTTCCTCCACAGTTAGCTGTCTTTTCTCGAATCTTCTCAGCATCTGGACTTCAGACATTTTCACTAAAGTCTCCAAAGATCCTCTTTTAAACAGGCCTGCTCTGCTTCAACCTGATGTGTTGATTAGCTCCATCCTGCCTGTTTGCTATTAGCATGCTAAGCTAACGTTAGCGGCGTTGTACCGGTCAATTTAGCAGGAAAAATATAAAGTGTTAGAAAAAAAAAGTTAGTGACACGTAGGCACTTTTACACTACATACATGCTCTTCCGATGCACTTGGGCATTAAGAATACACACAAAAGGTCTCTAAAACCGGGTTTCTATGGTCTGCTATGAGACAAATGTATTTCCGGTGTCAAACGGTTGTTTCCGGTTTCCTAATTAAGAGACCGAAAACAAAAACAAAAAAATTCAGATCGATTAAACCAAAGGTACTTTATACACAACATATATTTAAAAAATACTACCCTGATATCTCACATTGTGTGTGTTTGAAAAAAAGGAGCTTTGTAAGAAAATCCTTTAAATCCTGATCCAAGAAAAAAATTTGATTTTTCGTTTGAAGTCTTTATTTGGCCCTTTAACAAAAAATATATATGTAAAAAGCAGAAATCAGTTTTGAAAATTATTAATCTATTACTGTGCAATAAATTTAAATGACTGTTTTGTAGTATTCTGTCCACTGTTATAAGGGTATAACTGATTCTGAACAGTTTTTCTTTAGTAGTTTACATGAAGGAAAACCAGAAAATAAAAATGCATCAAGTTCAGTTTATTCAGCACACGTAGTCTCCAATATGGTGACATGTGAAAGCAGTATGTCCTATTTTTCTGTCCTCTCCTCGTATGTTTAATCAGCACAGAGGTGCAGACTTTTTCATATCTAAGTGAAAACAGTCTATGGTGCGAACACCAGTGGATTGAAGGTTACACTTTTTCATTCTCAAACAATCTCCTCTGTTCCTCTGTGCTGCTATCAATCAGTGATTTAAACCACATCTGGACTTTGTGGATACGGCCGCTTTTCATTTCCCATCAGTTCAACTGCGGCATTGTTCTGCTGACTCGTCTGTACAGCTCTGGTTCCTTCATTGTTTGCTGTTGTGTCCTTTAAAAACTGTTTTTCTGTGTTGCTCAACAAGAAAATAAATACATAAATAAATAAATAACCACCCATTGCTTAGTAAACAGATTATTCTAAGAGATTGGGATGCGTCACATCTGAAATGTTCCCTGTGTGTGACTGTGAAGGGGTCAGCAGGCCCCTCCCAGATGAGCTCCGGCCGCCTCGGAGCAGCTGCCCGCACAGCGCTGCTGATGTGCTTTGGCTCCCGACATGCGCGTGAATTTCTTGTGGCAGGTGGTGCAGCTGAACAGCTTCTCCCCGGTGTGCGTCCTCATGTGAATCTCCAGCGTGTACTTCCTCTTGAAAGCGGCTTTGCAGACGGAGCAGCTGAAGGGCCTCTCGCCTTTGTGGCAGCGCATGTGGCAGGTGACGTAGGCCACCTTGCTGAAGCTCCGGCCGCAGACCGAGCAGCTGAAGGGCTTCTCGCCGCTGTGGATCCTCCGGTGCTCCACGAAGTCCTGCTTCCTCCTGAAGGCCGCCGAGCAGACGCCGCAGCTGAAGGGCTTCTCTCCCGTGTGGATGCGCGTGTGCTCCACGTAGGCGTTCTTCCACTTGAAGGTGGCCTCGCAGAAGGAGCAGCTGAAGGGCTTCTCCCCCGTGTGGCACCTCATGTGGTGCGTGACGCACTCCCTCCGCTTGAAGCCTCGGCCGCACACCGAGCAGCTGAAGGGCTTCTCGTCGCTGTGGATCTTGGCGTGCTGGATGAGGACGCGCTTGGTTTTGAAGGAGGCCTGGCAGACGGCGCAGCTGAAGGGCAGCTCGGCCGTGTGGATCCTCTTGTGGCGCAGCAGGTTCGCCCGGCGGCTGAACGTCTTCAGGCACTCGGGGCAGCTGTAACACTTCTTGCCGCCGTCGTGTCCGTCGCCCGCAGCGCCGTCACTGGTTTTCGCAGACTGGGGGTCACTGCCCTGCTCCCAGTTTCCATCACTCACGTCCGTCTTGGAAGACTGGGAAGTCTTCTCTTCGGTGTCTGACTCCGAGCTCTGACCTGGATCGGACTCCTCAGTCTGAGCGTGATGAAGCTCTGAGGACTGAGGTTTCTCCTCCTCATCCTCACTTTTCACTATGACAGGAATGTAGGTGAACTCCGTGACATTGGCCTCCTCCTCTTCCTCTTTAATGCGAGAAAGGTTCGGGTCTTCCTGGTCCAAACTGGGATTCAATTTCTGCTGCTCAGCAGGACGCTCCTCTTTGACCTCCAACAGCTGTCTGACATCTGCAAAGAACAGAAATACAGACATCCAATTTATATGTGTAACATAGAAATGTAAAATTTTATGATTTGTGTTCCCTGAAACCTTAGAATGGATAATGATGTATAATAGGCATGGAAAAATTATTTGACAGTTTAATTCGTTTCTGGATATACATCATTATCAGCTGACATATCACTACCACTATGTAAATTTATTGGAAATACTTGAAATACAGTAATATAACTATTTTTTCACAACACTGGCCATCAGTAGCAGCTTTAATGTATTCAAATAACAGAATAATGTAGAATAACATGGGTACCACGAAGTTGAGAAACCAGCTTCACCCCGTTTGGACTCTCAGGCGCTTTTAACATCTGGATTTGAGACATTTTCACGCTGTCACAGCTGACAGATACGTCAAATTTGTGTTCCCCGCATAGTCCGCCACGAAAACTGCCCGTTTTCCATCACACTGTAGGTGTGACTTGGTGCTCAGCTCTGCGTTTCTGCGTCCAGCTAGCATGCTAAGCTCCCGTTGGTCACGTTGTTGCTGACAAACAACGAGTCAAAGAAGAGGTGCAAACCTTTCACCGGCTAGATGACCAACAAAGAGCCCGTTCAGGCGCACTGGTACGACAAAGACAACTACAGAGCACAGAAAAAGACACACGCTGTGAGACGGAGCAGGGCTGAGTTTCCACAGCTTTCTGCTGGTGCCATGAAAATTACTTCCGGCTGAGCTCTCTTGTCAGGTTTCAAAATATGCGCTTATGTTAAACATGCAGCGAATTAATTCCTTTTGAGATTAGGAAGAATACAAATTAACTGTCTGCGTGGGTGTAAGGTTTTATTTTAAAGCTATTTTTCCTTTCATCAATAAAGAAAAAAACCTTTGTGTCAGATTTGCTTTACGTATCAAGTTGATTTACACACACGTTTAGAAGTCCTTACATGTATCTCAACAAACCTTAAGTTTAGATGATTTAGTTTCCTTGCAAATATTTTTTGCCAAAATCTTTACTCTGTATCTTCATTCATTTTAATTTCATATCAAGTCCTTTTTATGCATTCTTGTGTGATGCTTGACAGTATTGAACACATATAAAGGTTATTCTTTAAATCTATTATCACCACTGCGACGATAGATCCATCGTTTAACACATCGTTTTATTTTTAACTCCTGACCGGAAGTAGCTGCCTTCGTCCCTTTCCGTGGTCACGATGAATTAAAATCTCCCAGAATAAAGTCGTCAGCTTCCAGTTTTCAGAAATGGACCGCTGCTGTAAACAAATTAGAGTGGTTTTACATCGCACGGGTCAGTTTGATTTGAACTTTTGTGACATAGCTTTCTGTTCTGCTTCCGTCTAAACGCATAGCTAAGCTAACAGCGGCTAACATGCATGAACACTCTGTAAACTGCTGCGAGGTCCGTGCTCCAAGTTTGTCATTCCATGGGCGATATTCGGTTATGCTTTGTGGAAAAACATATTGTTGGTCGCCTATTTCTTTCTTCGTTTTGTTGTGTCATTGACTGTGCTTACGAACACTTACGATCTGTGAGCTGGTCCAGCATTTTGTCCAGGACATCATAAATGATGACACCAGCATCAGCTTTGCATTATTTTGCAACAGAAATTAGATGCCAGCAGCTTCATCTGGCTGCTTCACAAAAGAAGAACCAGTTTCTCGACTGATATATTATTTTTTCCCCTATAATTACAAGAACCTTTGATTTCAAACCAGGACACCTCACAATGGGGGCGCTGTCCGAAGATGAACATCATAGCGAATATAAGGAAATGACGCAAAAGTGCTGCTAATTTGAATAGGCATCAGTTGGATTTAATATTTTCATTGTCATATGCACATATAAATGAAAACCCTTTTGAAAGATTAAAAAATATGCACCACTGTTGCTTTTCCAGCTGAATTTGGAAAGTTTCTCATAAAGCTGACAGCTAACTTCCATTTTCCTGCTCTTTTTTTGTATTTCAGAGGTCCCGTACCAGTTTAAAACAAATGCCCCCTCGGATCATCTGTCAAGATGCTCCAGACTGGACCTGCAAGGGCCACATGTCGCCGGAAATAAGGAGGAATTCCTAACAGAAGCCGGTCGGGAGGACTGGAGAGGATCAGACTCAAGCAGATGTGTGAACGCTGACTTTAGTCAACTTAAAAGTGAAGATGTAGATAAAAAGTTGGACGTTAAACTTGACAGCTCTGATTGCCGTGACGGGAGGGCCGAGTCACCGGGGCACTGCTGCTTCGAACCTCCGGAGCTGCCGCTTTTGAGCAGCCGGGATGGAGAGAGGGACGGTGGTCTGAGTGGGCAGAGCGATCCCCAGCCGTGGGGTTTGAGTGCTCCGGTGAAAGAAGAAACCGCGGCCTTTGATTCCGGCCAGGCGGCCAAAAATCCACTCTCCTGCTTTTTCTGCGGCACGGAATTTGCAACGGGGGGACTTCTGACCAGGCACGTGCTCATCCACACAGGAGAGAGCCTGCTCAGGTGCATCATTTGTAAGAGGACGTTCGCTCTGGAGGCGGAGCTTGTGAGTCACGTGTGTGCCCGGGAGTCCTCTCGGCGTCACCAAAGCGGGACGGAGGCGGAAGCTGGCGCCGGCCGGCTGTTTCCCTGCTCGCAGTGCGGGGAAGAGTTTTCCCGAAGGGAGGAATTAAACGTCCACCTCAGGAGCCACGCGCGGGGAGACCCGCTCAAGTGTTCGGTCTGTCAGGCGGTCTGCAGCGACCGGGACTCCCTAATCCTCCACATGAGGATCCACACCAGGCAGACGCAGTTCAGCTGCTCGGTGTGCGGCAAAGACTTTGCCTGGAGGAGACACCTGACCAAGCACATGGAGGTGCACATGAAGAGGAAAAAAGTCTTCCGGTGCAGAGTTTGCGGGGGAGAATTCTGCACCTACTACGTGTTGTCCAAACACAAGCTCATCCATCAGCCGCCGGAGCTCCATCAGGGCCAGACGGAGGAAAACGGCGAAGAAAACGACAACGTGGAGGCAGCAGCTGCCGAGGAGGACTGTGGAGGACCCGGGGGAGTCACGAACCCAGACCCAGGAAGGCATTTACAGCCAGAGACTGATGCGGAGGCTTCAGTGGACTTTAAAGCTGAAGATCAGGAGTTTTTGAAAGATCCCGGAGCCTCAGGCTCAGAGTTAACCCCCGAGCAACCCAGCGAAGCCCCCGAAAGCGACATTAAGACGGACATACAGCAGCTGGCAGTAAAAGAGGACCTCACGGAGGAGGTGAAACAGGAGGAGCCAGAGCCTCCGCAGGTTAAAGAGGAACCGGAGGAGACTGAAGTCACCACCTTCACCTTCGGCTCCGTCCCAGTTAAGACAGAGGAGGACGAAAAGAAACCCCAGCCCTGGCAGCTTTATGACAGCCAGGCCGAGGACAACGGCGGCTCGGCAGAACAGCCAGAGCCGGCAAAGAACGCCGACTCGGCAGGTCCGGGGGCGCTGTCCTGTAAAAGCGACGACAGCGCAGACAGCGATTTCTGGAAGGAGGCCAGAGGGCCTCAGTCCGGCCTGAACTCTGAGAGCGATTCTGGGAAAAATCCCCCGAGCGGTCCCGAGGACAAACCGCCGGGGTCCCTGCAGCCCGAGAGCGACGACAGCGTGGACAGCGACTTTTGGAAGGACTACAAGAAACCACAGGCCAGCTCCAACCCCCTGAAACAGGACGCGGCGGAGACGGGCGTGAAGTACGTCAACGACCTGAAGCCGTACAGCTGCACGCTGTGCAGCAAGGCCTTCCGCTACAGCTCCTACCTGAAGACGCACATGAGGCAGCACACGGAGAGGTACTTCTGCTCCGTCTGCGGCTACCGCTCCACCTCCAGCTCCAACCTGAAGGTGCACATGCGCACCCACACGGGGGAGAAGCCCTTCAGCTGCCCCGTGTGCGACAAGAAGTACACCAACAAGGCCAGCATGCAGTCCCACATGTCGGTGCACGCCGCCGAGAGGAAGTACAGCTGCGAGGTGTGCAAGAAGAGCTTCGCCTGGTACACGGAGCTCAAGTACCACCAGTGTCCGGGCGAGGCCTCGCACCACGAAACCTACGAGGAGGACGCCAACATCAACCTGAAGAGGAACGTCTCTTACAGCTGAGGCCACCCGTCTGGAGAAGCTCGCCTCTATCGTCTGTCCCCCGTCCCCGACTGAAAGCGCTCGGTGGGACCCGGTGCGTCAGGAGGATCAGTTTGAAAACGTTTTAAACCGTGAACCTCACTGAGCTCGAATCGAAAACCCGAAAAACGTCCGAGCGTGTTCAGGTCGAAAACTAAAGGGGTCTGTCTTTTTTATGGGAAAAGCTCTGGAAAATGGATACATTTGTGTTTGGACTCTCATGGACGTCTCATTCCTGTGTGTGTGGGGGGATCTTTTTGGTCGCTGGATTAAATTTTATTTCTGACTTTTTAATTCATGAAATTCTCGTGTCGCTTACTTGGGTGAACTTTGTCACAAGCAGATACTAAAACAGAAAAGTGATATCACTCTATCCACACCAGAGGAACACGTAAAAAGTAAAGAAGGCCCTTTTCATTTTGTGTGTGTATAATGCACAGATCGGTTAAAGTATTAGGTTCTTAGAATTTTCAAAACAAACAAAAAAGGGTTATAAAATCGTTTCCATCCGATTCAGTCTTGATTATTTACAGCAAAAGGTGAAGTCTGTGACTCGTTTTCGTGTCCACTCGGGATTGTGGGATCTTCTAGAACCGCTGGCTCTCATCAGACAGTTCAAACTGAAATCTCTGAGAAATCTCATGGTTCTCTTCTCTAGGGTCTTTACATTTTTCTAAAACTGTAAACAATCCATAATTAGAAAATCAACCTCTTTTTCCCCCATTTGAAACAGTGAAACATGCAGCATCGTTGTGTCAGCAGCTCTTTATTGTTGTCGACACTTAGTGTGGTCCTTTTTTAAACTTATTTTTATGTCTAATAAATAGAAATAAATCGCTGTTCTCTTTTGTAACTGGAACAGAAAAAAAGAAGTTAGTTCAATTGCTCCTCAAAGAGCATGTCCTTATGCTCTTTTGGGCCCAACACAAAGAAGACTGCATACAGTTCAATGAATTATGAGACGACTCCTCACATTTTCAAAGTTGAAACTGTTCCACTTGGAATGACTGCCTACATAAATGACTTCTGCTCAACACACGTTAAGACATTTCCTCTAAATAATTAAAAACTGAGTAAATAATGCAATTTCAACTAAAGGAAGCCTGTAACAGTACTTTTGACTTATTGTTCTTCATACACAGTAACATAAAGTTTATGTTTCTACATATATGCTGTTTTGGATTTGGGGTTACAGCCAGACTTGTCAGCAGATGTGAATCAGGAAGCAAATAAGAGGAAAATCTGTACTTCAAAGAATAAATAAATAGATAAATAAGTTTGCCTTGTGAGAGAAGGCCAGAGCTTCTGGAAGATACCGCCTCCCTCTTTCATATCAGTGAGAGGACTCAGGAAGCAGCTGCTAGCAACAAGACGGTCTTTAGATTCTTAACTTGTTGGAATGAATTCATTAATTCTGTGTAACGTAAGAGGGGAAACGGCATGGCCGGCTGATGCAACGATCTGTTAAACAAACTGGAAACCAGAATTAAGACAAAAAGGGAACCGACTCAGCAGCTGCACACGGATCAACGTGGTGCCTCAACCTGCAAAGCAGCTGGGCTCTCGCATGGTTCTGGAGGTCCTGGCTGTAAGGCGGCCCGGGCTTTGTGTTTGAAGCTAAGGCACAGACCATTTAGAGACCATTTAAGCCATGCTGGCATCTAAAAGAAGGTTTTGGTGTGCAACAACAGTCACTAACGGCTACCAAAGAGGTCACAAAACATGCTGCTAAGGAATCGCTTAATTTAAAAAAAAGGGGGGGGGGGGGCAAACTCTTACATCTTGAAGAGTTTGTGTTGCCTGATGGCTCTGCTGGTCATACCTGCTAACAGAGGGCTGCTTTATCCTGCATTTCGGCTTCACGTTCCCAGAGATGTGGGCGTCTTCCCAGACTCCGGAGGACAAACCGCCACCGGTCCAAAACTTAAAACAACGCTCTGTGATTAACCATAGTCTCATAAGGATGGCAATAAAATTCAAAATAGTGGATGATACTCCATCTAAATAATAATAAAAAGTAAAAAAAACCCTAAAAACTAAATATCCTGTTAAATTACAATTACATAAATGAACATGATTACTTTCATATACTGTTTGCAAAGGAAGTTTAAGGCTTTGGTTACAACGCATTATCAGATCCAATCCGAGACACAGTGAATTCTCATTTTACAAACATTGCATAACACAACCCTTCAGGGAATAAGAGATCGACGGAAGGGCTGACACAACCAAGAAATAAAAAATAAATAATATGCTGATACTGCATCCCAGCAGCAGGTTTAGAAAAAAGAATCCAATAAAAAAAAACAAGTATATACGGTTTGAGCTCTGGAAATCTGACTCGGAAACCTTTATGAGGTTGTGTCATTTCTTTTAAATGATCAAAACTGTCAAACACAATCGTTTCAATTCTCTCATAAAGTTAATAAATTATTAGATCAAAGGAGCTACAGAAAAAGACGCATCCTCATCAGAACTCCAGAGTCATTGGTTTCCGAGATGTCTGATAAAGCACTTAAATGGCTCCTACTCTCTGTGGACCTCCAGATGTTTGGTCAGACTTCCTTTCTGTCTGTATCTTTTCCCGCATATGGAGCAGCTGAACGGTTTCTCTCCGGTGTGGATCCTCATGTGCACCTTCAAGTTCCCGCTTTCAATGAAGCCTTTGCCGCACACCGTGCACCTGTAGGGTTTCTCTCCGGTGTGGATTTTCATATGTTTCTGCAAACACCCGTTCCACGAGAAACACTTCCAGCAAACCGGACACCTGAAGGGTTTTTCCCCCGTGTGGCATCTCATGTGGGCCTTCAGCTGGCCCTTGAAGCCGAACCTCTTCCCACACTCGGAGCAGCTGAAGGGCTTTTTGCAGATGGCGCACCCGGGACAGTTTGCGGAGGGTCCACTGTGCTCCGTTCCCTGATGAAAACCAAAAGCCGTTCCCGCCTGTGGATGCCCGTCCTGGTCCGGCCCGACGCTGGATTCCGGTCCTCTCCCGCCGTGCCTGGCCTCCTCTGCGTGGCGTTGCTGGAGCTGCGAGGACTGATGAAGGCTGCAGCTGAAGATGGCCTCTCCTTTATGGACGGCCATGTGCATTTTCAGGTTGCCCCTTTGGGCGTACCCTTTCCCGCACACGGAGCAGCTGAACGGCTTCTCTCCCGTGTGAATCCGCATGTGCACCTTGAGGTTCCCGCTTTCGCTGAACATTTTCCCACACACCGAGCACCGGAAGGGCTTCTCGCCCGTGTGGATTCTCATGTGCTTCTGCAGACGCCCTCTCCACGAAAAGCACTTCCTACAGATTGGACACCTATAGGGCCTTTCTCCTGTGTGGCATCTTATGTGCAACTTTAGATAGCTCAGGGACCCGAATCTTTTTCCACATTCGGAGCAGCGGAATGAGTTCCAATTATTACTTCCAACATCATTTGAAGACATTTCATTTTCTGCTGCTGACCGAGGTTCTAGGATCACGTTATAATCATCAGCACCGACTTCAGGCTTTGGTTGCACAAACACTGAGCTCTTGTCATCCGTTTCTGATTCAGGACCACAACTGTCTTCTTCCTCCAAAATGATTATGTTATCCTGGGTTTGGCTGCACAGAAGCTGTGAAGACTGAGGTTCCTCCACCTCCTCATCATCATCGTCGTCGTCGTCTTCGCTCTTCACAAGAATGGGACTGAATGTTAACTTTGTGACATCGTCCTCGTCAAGTTCCTCTTTAATTTGTATGGGCTGTGGATCGGGATCTGGGTCTTTTTGGTCCAAACTGGAGCTCTTATCTGGCTGTTGTCCAGTAGTAACACCTTCTTTATCCACCAGCAGCTGCCGGATCTCTGCAGGAAGGGCTGAAACGGGTCAAATATTTCAGTTAAACAAATTAACAGTATGAAATAATCTTAAAAAGAAAATTGTGCACAGTTATATGCAGAACCCGATTCTATGTGGCAGGTGCCCCTTTATCACGGCCCCGTGTGGGAGAGCCAGGCCAGAGGGAGCGCAGCTGAACACACTGTGCAGACATTGTCTACAAGTGTCAGTGTTTGGCAAAGAATGGAATATTTGAAATAATCGGAAAAGGTCAAAGACCAACCCAAAGTGTCAAAACTGATGAAAGTCAGTGATTTTTCTCATGATGCTGTTTGCCACCAACCAAGCCACCTAGGTGAACTTAGACTTTGCTGAAAGAAACTAAATTAAACAAAATACATTATGTCACTCATACATCAATTCAGCATCTTACATATCTGCCCGCTTTCACAATAGGCGACAACCTAAGCAATTTAACAAACCCAGTTTGTTGTGTCTGCTCAAACATGCAAAAACAGCAGCTCAGGATGCACTAAAGTGCGTCCGGTCCTTCACCTGCACGTCAGCAACATCAGCTCATTGCTCATTTACAAGAGTTTTGTAGGATTTCCAACCACTGTGAAACATGACATCAGTGAAAGCACTTCAGGGGCCGAAAAAACAAATGAATTCCCCACAAACAGCCAACACAGCAGGGTCAGAAGAAGAGATTTAACTTTTGACCAACTCTTTAGGAAAAGACAACATTACCCCCCTAGTGTATTGTGTCAGTTTGACAGAAAGCCCAATGAAAGGAAGTCCCTGTAAGTAAACTATCCACTAGAGCTGAAACATTTAGAACCATATTACTGAAGCTGTGCTTTCAGTTCCACGTGTTGGCATCCTTTACTGGGGCCCTGAGCAGATGTTGGTGGGTCATAATGACCACAAAGCATCCTGGCTTCCAAAGCACATTCAGCACAACGTCTGAAAGCTTTTTTTTCTTTGTGGCGGGCTGAAAAGCGTGGGTTAGGCATTTGTTGTGAAAACGACCCAACTGTGGGCTGAACTGAGTTTAATGTGAGGTTCTGAAGCGTTAAACTGACCCAAAAGAGTGTTTTTTCAAGGGGACACTCAGGAGTCCTGGTTACTAGCAGCTAGCGGCTAACATTCTGTTTTTTTTGTTTTTTTTTGGGGGGGGGGGGGTTGTTTTTTGGCGGAGGACAAACCTGCTCTGTGCTGCCTCATCTCAGCCGTTAAAACCACATCCAGAAAATCGCGATGGCGTCGCTCCGTCTCCTCCTCATACTCCAGTATTGTTCTCTCTAACTGTCCGAGGATGTCGTCCACCGCGGCGGTGAGCCGCTGGCTGATGAACACCTTCAGCCCCTGAAGTCTGGACATGGTGGCTCAGTCAGACCACAGGACCACTCACTCGGAGGATTTTCAGGCTCTGATATTCGACGTTACCGACTTTACTTGGCCTCCGACATCCAAACTGAACCAAACAATCACTTCTTTTTCTTCATGTTTGTGAACGCATCACTCACCAAGTGCACACACACACACACATTTGCTGACCCAAGCACAGGGGTTCACTTCCGGGTCGAAATCAAAATAAAGTTTTTGGTGAGCGTCATTGATTTGACCAAATCTAAGTAATTTTACCAGGTAAATTAAAATGATTTACTTCTACTGGCTGGTTAACTGAGGGGAGTAATAAAAAAAGGGCTTTACATTGAACATTAAAATAATTAAAGACTGAGTTTTGGACAGAAAATGGTCCATTTCGAACCTAGAACAAGATACTGAAGCCTCTGAAAGTGGAAAATGTGAATATTCAGAAACCACATTGAGGTTAAACATCTTTCTACTTTTCTCATTCGAAGAGTCATGTTAAACATCATATAGAAAAGACGCATTTATGTTTTCTATCTGTGGACAAGAATATCCCTCAGCTCACAACTGCAGATCCACGTGAAAACTGCAGGAAAACCAAATAGAAAATTAGCTGCATGAAGAAGACAAAAGATGCATTTGTATGCTTCTGAATGCTTGAATTTGACACACTCTTCAAATATCTGTACTTTCATTGCTTTCCATGTGTGCATATTTTTTGGTCAGCTAAGCATGCAGTCTCACATGACCATCCCCTCATCGGACATTCAGTACAGTTATGACAGGTGTGACAGGAGCTTTGTCACATCGGCCATAATTGACTGGTGTAACAATTATAACTTAATTATGCCCGATGTGTTAGTAAGTTCCGACAATTACAAAAAATAAACTATACGGCTACAGAATCATTGAGCAACACATTTGATTCAGTATTTTCTGTTAATTTTGCATTGTTTATTATAGATATTGTAGAGTTCTGTAAACAGTTTTTAATTAAATGTATTTTAAAAAGTATGTGGAGATTGATGGAAATATGACACTGACAGCAGAAACAAATTTATTCGATTGTAATAACAAATGCCATGATAATTCGACTTCTTCTAACTCACCAGTGAACGTGATGCATGCAGCCCCCAGTTTGTGGCAACAGGGGGCATAGTTGTGTCATCCATCCACCCATTTTCCTTACCCTCTTATTTCAAGTAGTGTCACAGAGGCCTATCCCAAAGCCTAGACCAACAGGCCATGTCACTCCTCCGTCGCAGGTTAGTGCCCTGCTATTCCATTCTTTAGCAGGTACTGTTGAGATGACCACTCTTTGTTGGAAATGTTTCCGTTTCCAGCCCTTCCCACCTAACTAAAACCTGGCTCTCCTTGTCACTCTTAATAAACTCCCTTCAAATAATCTTTTACTCTTCTACTGGAGTCATTTGATTTGTATTGTCATGCTTTACAACATCAATTGTAAAGTGTTTTAACTAAGTGATTCAATCTTACACCATTAAACATTCATGGAGCTTTCTGGTTTCAGTTTGCTGATAGCTGATTTCTGAATAAAACAGAATTAAATATTGAGAATCCTTAAAGATTGTGAAAGTTTGTATAGTTGAACCCTCCTTGTTGAAGTGCAAACTTGTAAAATGAGCACAAAATAGTTATTTCGCGTCTCAGGGCATTTTTATTTTTTAAAAAAGTAAAGGGAAATCTTGGGCATTCGTGAAGTAAACTGTTCTAGGGGCGCAGACGAAGGAAGGAGGTACTGGTGCTATTTTGTGTGGAGAGAAGGGGAGCATGAAAAGACGTTTCTCATGTAAAATCCCTGAGGTGAAAAGGTACTTGATCAACTTCTGCCTTTTTTAGTGTCTGGGACGTTTAGACGAGTCTGCAAGAGAATCCAGAGAAAAAATGAGCCGCGTGCTTAAAACAAAACACTTCTTTGGATTCTTCAGAATGTTTGGATTTGAGACATTTAGCAAATCTCTGTACCTTGATTGCTTTGGACTCTGAGCTCTTATCTGAGGTTCATGGGTCGACCCAGCTGTGGTCTGTCAGTTTGCCCATAACCAAACGGCTGACTTCTGTTGGAAAAGCAGCATATGTACATATAAGTATAAAAGCAAGCAACTCAAAAGAGGCAATATGCAAAACAATCTCAGTCTTACCATTGGTCTTGATTTTTATCAACACGTTTAGTATGGAAAATCTGGAGGGGAAGATGGCAGGACGCCTACGACCTGTGGAGCACATGTCAGTGATAAGAATGAATTCTAAAACATACTGAGGAAGCGAGGAACCAGGACAGCCGCTCTCACGAGGTTCAGTGTAGGACTTGCCAGAGGAAATGGGTGGGGGATTTCTTTTCAAGGTGGATGTCAAAGTCTTTTCATCATTCTTCAGGGTGGTGGTATCACATTACCAGGGGCTGTGTCTGTCTGCTTTCTGCAAAGAAAAAACAAAACAAAAAAATAAATAAAGCACATTTTAAATGCATGTCAATTTAGAGATGGGTTATGTAGGAGTCTGCGGGTGGAGGAACTGCTAGTAGCTAACTGGTGTCAGGAACTAGCGTGGGATGTATAATCTTTTTGTGTTTGGATGGTAAAGACCATTAAAGTTGAAAGTAAAAGTAAAAGGAATCAGAATTTGTAAAAAGCTGGATGGCGGGAAGGTGGATGATAGCTTCTGATGGAGAAAGACGGTGGATATTTCTGGAGGCAGCTGGCGGAAGCCTAAGATGGAGACTTGAAGTTGGACTTTTCTGGCAGATGGAGTGGTCAGGCCTCTGGTGGAGATGTCCCATGGATTTCCTTACAGAAGGGTACATGGTGCAAGTTGAGATTAAAAGGCGAGGGGGATAAGTACATAACACAGCCCACAGATGGAGGTGGGAATATTTTTCCTTACCTGTCGATGAGGGGTGCTGGTGGAGGTTGAATAAGGCTTTTCTCTCATTCTAGCAGTGGAGGCAGAGCTGCATGTATGTAGAAACGGAAATAGAGATCGTCAAAAGCTGAGTGTAAAAAGCTAGAAAATCCATAATAAAAGTTCAGTAGAAATGGACACAAAATAAATAAAAAAGATAAATACATTGCACTCCGATGATTGAGCTGCAGGCAGAGATAGAAGGTGGATCACTTTTTGCAATTTGGTAGTTGATCAGAAGGTGGAGTTTGTTTCTGAAGTCAGATGGTTGATCTACAGGTGAAGTATTTCTTGCAGTCTGATTGGAAGATCTGGAGTTGTTGTTCTTTTGCAGTTCTTTTTGAAGATGTGCATTTGGAGGGAAGAGTTTTGCCTTGAAGTTGGATAGTATGTATATAGTAATGTAAGGTGGAGTACTTTTGCAGTCTGTTGGTAGAACTGCATCTGGATTATTGAACATGGAGTATTTTTGCAGTCTGATGGAAGATCTGCATCTGGAAGATGGAGTATTTTTGCTGGCTGTTGGTAGAACTGCAGGTGGATTATTGAACATAGAGTATTTTTGTGGGTCTGATGGTAAATGTGTAGGGTAGTCACAGAGGTGCACAACAACATAATACATAATACAAATCATAATACATAATACAAATCATAATACAAATCTACATTTTGAAAAAAAGTTTTAAAAAAAGTATATATATATATCTTTCACAAAATAACAATACATGAAACACGGTTACAAGTTCTAAAAAACAATTTACAAATGAGAGAACCAACTGGAAACAAAAGTACATTATTATCTTATATCACTATGTCATTCCTAGTTTTCATTAATTCCTTGTTCATTTTCCATTGCATTGAAACACTGGCACAACATTGTCCCTCGGAATCAATAAAATTCTTCTCCTAACTTAAATCAGTCAAAAAGGGAATGTTCCAACATCGAGTCTGACCTGGTGACCCAAGATGAACAGCAATCGAGTGGTGTTTTGGCCCTTTTTTGGCACATATATGAGTGCCATTACTACCCATATTGGGTCACCATGAGTGCTCCAGTTCTGACTTTTGGGTCAGCCTCGGAGTTGGTACATTCCCTTTTCATTGATCTAAGAAAAATAAGATTAGAACTATACTAATCCCATAGGTTTCAATATACAGAAGCATGCACAAGGAACCAGAAAATCCAATGATAACATTGTAATATAAAACAGAGCAATTTCCATTAGGGCTGATTTTCTTATTAGCACATTTGTTTTAAGACTTGTAAAAGTGTTTTGGATCTTGTCTATTTGTTTTGTGAAATTTAAATGTGCATTAAATTTGCAAATATGGATTTGTCTTGAGCTTTGTGATGTGTAATGTCAGTTTGTATCTCCTGCCCATACACTACTTTTGCAATCAGATGGTAGAACTGCAGGTGGAAGGTGGAGTATTTTTGCAGGTACATGGTAGATCTGGGGGTGCTGGTTGAAGGTGGAGCTTTTTTGCAGCTTGATGGTAAATCTGCAGGTGGAGTATTTTTGCAGTCTGATGGTAGATCTGCAGGTGGAAGGTGGAGTATTTTGCAGTCTGATGGTAGATCTGCACGTGGAAGGTGGAGTATTTTTGCAGTCTGATGGTAGATCTGCAGGTGGAAGGTGGAGTCTTTTTGCAGTCTGATGGTAGATC